CAGTGAGCTGCAGAGCGTCCGCCTCTATCAGTCCACCGGTGGCCTTCATATATTTGTCATGGCTTCTGAGGTCATTTATTTTCTCTTCATCTTTTATTACATGTTCCAGCAGGTCAGTCTATTCGTAATAACACTGCCACTCATTTATGATGGCTTTAATAAAGGGTCATAGAATGTGGATAAATAGATGCATATGCCGGTTTTCACAGGGTAAGCTCATGAAGCTGCAAAAATGGGAATACTTCAGGAGCAAGTGGAATCTTTTAGAGCTTGCCATCATTATTTTAAGCTGGAGTGCATTATCTGTATTTGTCAAGAGGACACTTTTGGGCAACCAGAGCATGGAGTACTATCAAAACCACAAAGACCAGTAAGTGAGATTTTCTCAGTTTATGCTCTGATGAAGTTATTACACCAGGACATGAATACATGCTTGTTTCTGAACTTTGCTGACCTAATGTACGCAGTCATCCCTCGCTGAGAAGAACATTTAAATGTCAGTTAATGTGGACTGTCAGATGGACTTGCCAGTACTATGCGCTCTAATCATGTGCTCCTTTGGCAGGTTTGCTGGTTTCAATGAAACTGCCACAGCAGATGCAGTTCTCGGGTACATTATAGCTTTCTTGGTTCTGCTGGCCACCGTGAAACTGTGGCACCTGCTGCGTCTCAACCCGAAACTTCACATGATCACCTCCACGCTGCAGCGGGCGTGGAACGACATCTCCGGCTTCATCGTGGTCATGACGATCATGTTCTTGGCCTACTCCATTGCTGTGAGAACTGACTTACAATTGATAGAATTTACCCTAACTTTAACAGTCGTTCTTAATTCTAGTCCCGAGGAGCCCAAGCAATGTAGATTAACATTTTTTAGTCGACATAATAAAGTTGCACGGCTGTCAGACTCCAAATACACCAAAACACCAACAACAATATATGGGCCAGCAGTTACACCTCAATTCTACACAATTATGTGCAATTCCAGCCCAGTCATATCACCACAATGCATTTCAGCTGCAATTCAACCAACATACACACTAAAAACTAGCTCAGCAGCTCAGAAAATGAGCCCAAGTCTTGCAGCAAAGGAAGATGCCAGATGTCTAGATATGTAGGTTAGGTATGTAGGTTTAAGAGACCGAGCATAAATAAATTTTGAATATTTCAGGTGTCCATGGAATATTTCAAGGTCTACGAGTGTCTGTATTTTTTGCATGTTTTGAATAAACAATGGCCAGTTTGGGTTTCAGCACAGCATTCATTAAAAATAAAATTAAAACATTTTTTCCTCTGGCCCACAGATTTGATGAGATTTTTTAATATCACCCTTTTACTGGTCCAGTTTGACGCCCCTGTACTAAGACGTTAACACCTTGATTTGTCTTCCCGCAGTGTAATCTCATGTATGGTTGGAAGCTTTACTCATACCGGACTCTTCTAAATGCTGCCCAGACCATGGTCAGCTTACAACTGGGAATCTTCAACTATGAGGAAGTATGTTGGGCATATCAGTGTTAAGATGCTCTTCCATAATGACTGCAATCTCCATAATAATTACCATCTCTGCATTAATCCAGGTTCTGGATTATAACCCCGTCCTCGGTGCGTTTGTCATTGGGTCCTGCATCATCTTCATGACGTTTGTGGTGCTGAACTTGTTCATATCCGTCATCCTGGTGGCATTCAGTGAAGAGCAGTTACACCATAAGGTACAGATGGTTTCTCCACCATCTAACATTTGGAAGGTTTTTTTAACCCTATTAAACAAGCTCTTATCTTTGTTCCTCAGCCCTCCGAAGAGGAGGAAATTGTAGACCTGATGCTGATGAAGATATGCAGCCTGTTTGGAGTCAAGGTGAAGATGAACCAGCTGACTGACAATGCCACAGTCTCCAACACTGCACCTTCTGTCGTGTCATAGGCATACCAGATGTCATGCTACTGCACATTTGTGTTACATGTATAAAGAAAGCTGTAATGTCATGGCCTGTTAGGGGTGGGCAATATGGCAAAAATATCATGATACTTGGTAAGACATTTTCTCGATATACAATATGGATCACAGTATTAAGTATTTCTGGGGCCGTATTACAGAAAATTCTTAAGTCTGAGATCATATCTGCTTTGTTGTCATGGCAACTTCAGTTATGACTGAAGTTAGGACAGAAGCCATTACAGAACAACAGTTCTTAAGTCTATAATCTTATTTCCAGATAAGAAAACAGTATTACAGAAACATCCTAAGTTGCCAAAATATCCTAAATATTTTCTTAACTTTAAGATAAACCCAGAGCGTCTTAACTTCTGTTTTAATCGTCTGTTTCTATTGTTTTATGCAGCGACAGGCAGCACAGTTCACTATAAGTAGCATAATGACGCTACATTGATCTACACTGAAAACGGTGCTTTGACTTGGGAGTTTCTTTCTAACAGCATTTAAAGCCCCAGATGCTGCAGCCTCGATCTCCACCATTCACTCTTATTACCTTTGTGAGTTATTGTTGATGAAATCTTGTCAGATAAAATATTACAGTGATGGTGGTGAATAATGAGGAGACAGAGCTGAATGTGTCTGTTTATTAGGAGGAATGAACAGACACACATAACATTAACACGCTCGGCTAAAGCGTTTGGGAAATGAAACTGAAACTGTGGAGCGACGACGCTCTGATAAAAAGCACGAAGCGCTGTCAGAATATTATTAACTTCCTTAACTGTTGTTTTCATGGCCACGACTTAGTAAGGCGAGGGAATCAGATCCTAATGCATGGCCACGACTTAGTAAGCCATGATCTCGTTCCCACACCTTACTAAGTCATGGCCACGACTTAATCATCTCATTCCCATGCCTTACTAAGTCATGGCCACACATTAGGATCTCATTCCCACACGCTTTCCCACACACTATTTATACAGGATGTCACCAGCAGGGCTCCGTAGTTGTTTGACCTTTTTTACATCAGTTTTACATCAGCTAACGTTAGCTGTCTGGCTAACTAACTTGATTACATGTTTACGTTTCAGCTGTGCTCCTATGGCCGGTTGCTAGGTAACAGACACGACAGTTGATTGTCGACTTCAATCGAATAAGATTTCCTAACTTGAGATAAGATGCAGTAAGATGAGATTCTTAAATTAAGATCAGATTTGCTTCTGTAATACGAATTTGTGAGAAATCTTATCTTGACCCGTCAGATCTTAAGTTCAAAAAGATTCTGTAATACGGCCCCAGAAGTTTGAGAACCAGTAGTGCTACATTTAAAAATACTATCAAAAACGAAGTCATTCAGAGTGGCTTGACGTCAAATAGTTCATTGTAGAGAAATTTACCAACCTGGATTTCTATACAATGGTGGTGACAGCAACCAGGGGGGTGTGATGTCTACCACACAAATACAGGGTGATTCAAAAACATTAATCCGATTTCAAAGCGCCATATTTTTACAACCGTAAAGCGCCAAGGAACCAATCACATTCCAATTGAAAGAAAGGGTCATAGAGTTTCTGTCAGTGGAAGACGGCTCCTTTCAGTCTGCGAGGAGATGCGACCCCTGAGCAAAAAGTGTTCTGTGTTCTCCTCTTCAATAAGAGTGAATCTGTCATAACTGTGCAGCGTAATTTTCATGGCCAGTGAACCTCCAACAGCTAAGAGCGTTCATTGCTGGTTCCACAACACTGGATGATCACCGAAATCGCACTGAAAGAGTCATGATTACAATGACACCCAACATGCTCAATCGAGTATGGGATGAATTTCACTATGGCGTTGATGTTGTCCGTACAGCTGGAGGAGGTTTTTACTGAGCTCTTGTGAAAATACATAAACTTTACGCTCAATTAAACCATTTACAGTTTACTGCATTGTTCTGTAATGATTTACAACTGAAATAAATCATTTTGAAATCGGATGAATATTTATGAATCACCCTGTACATAATACTTTTATTCACCATCTATAACAAAGCAATGAATCTATATGCCTTATGAGTTTTAAATCGAATGTTGATGGTAAAATGGCGGGAAATCTGAAGAAAAGTTTTCTTTTGGGACCATTTTTCCTTACAAACCCCATTGCATGTACTTCTGTGCCATAAAGAAATTGGGGAAAAGTACATTTTACACCACATGCTTATCTCAAAGCTAAAATACAATGTCTCAGGAATCCAGCAGCGTATCTGGACCCATTTCATGCATTAACTTTGTGAGGTGGCTTTTAGAGGTTTCTCTAGAGCATTTCACGTTATACCACTCTGAATGACTTTGTTGGCATCTTAAACATTGCAGAAATTGTTTATGATGAAATTATTTGGTGGAATTCCCCACAGACAGTATCTACAGTATGCTAAGAAAAGCACATGGTGGCAAGGTTTATCACAATACCAATAAATATTGTCACATTGCCCACCAGCAGTCCACTATCTTTGTAAATGTTAGCAGTGTCTACATGCAAAATACTGTGATTAGACCTAAAAGCATGTTTTACATGTTGTTCTTCGCATTATTGCACTGCACTGAGTCATCTAGATATGTGCCCTTATTATTGTAGTCCTAGAACACTGCCTTTTGGGACTTTGTACTAAGCTTTCAACCTTAAAAGTTGTGTCGACTGCTTGATGTCAGATATGTCCTTTAATAACAATAGTTATGAAACCTGCAAACGTTTGATGTGTCAGTTTCAGCAGTGTTCCTTTCCATAAAGAAAAGTGAAGCATGTCTTGCTCATGTGCATAAAAGAGGATATCAGGGTTTTTTGAGCTTCAGTTGGCATAATACTGACATAATACTTCATGACAATTCAGTTGCAATTTCATGCCTGTGTGTTCTCAGTTTCTCCGGTCACCCACCGATACTCTCCCTACCAAATGTCTATTATAACATCATGCATGAACATGAATATAAAAGTAAATGCAGTATTGGTAGTATTAGGATCATCATATACCATGACTTAGCCAGTCCTGATTCCAATATGGCAGCAATGCCGTCACAAAAGAAACCAATGAAGTTATTTTTCTTTAATGTCATATATAGATGGTTCATCCTTACATCAACCAAATGCTTGACCTTCACAATCCAGCCCAATTGTACATGCTCCAATGAACTATTTGAACAACCTTCAGTGCTGGCAACACACTGTCCTGTGTCCAGACTGAGCACTAAGAGCATTTTTTTTTTTTGGAACCTTAAATATTCCCATTACAAGCAGCAAAGGATTGCCACTTACTTTACCGTAAGCAAATCATCTGACAACCAGACATTATGGGACAAGTTGCCTGCCAAGTAACAAAGTTACAGTTACTCTTTTTAAATAGCTTCAATTGAGTTTTAAAAAAATTTGCAGTCTGATACAGAAGGCTAAGAGACCTGAACAATATGAAAGTGCTAGTCATTAATTTACAGATTTCAGGCATCACATAGTGCTATGACAAGTATCCAATATGCTACATTTGAATACACGTTTGACACCTTACAAATGCCTCTGGATGTTTGGCCAGGCTACTTAAAAATCAAGAGCCTTGGCTAGTATGTACAATATCATGAGAATTTGTTTTGTTTATGCAGAAAAAAGGTTGACACACTACCGCCAGAGGTAATAATCTTAGAGGCCCTTTGGCCAGAACAGTGAAAATGATTTGAGATTCTGTCCCATTATCAATTTCGATTATTTATAGCCCCCAATGAATGCGAGTGGGAGGGAAAAAAAAGAGCTGCCATCATGGTATCCCTCTTGTTTTTGGATTCCATAAGACAACATTGTTCAAAGCTTCTTTTTTTTCACTTGCAAAGTCCTTGGTTCGTTTTCCCAGCCATTGGTTGCATTTGGTTGTCTTCCCACGTGTACTGGTGCTGTCCAGTTTGATAGTCAGATTGAAGAGTGAGTGAGAAGAACCAGTTCTGGAACCACTACTTGAGGGAACAACACAAGCTTTTTCACTTCACTACAATCAGTCACAGAGTAAGAAAGGGGAGTGGGGGAGAGAAAGGACTCAATTCATTCCAGGGGCGTTGCCTCCAAAGTTGAAACTGCTTGGCACCACTGGAGCTGTGAACTTGTATCCCCCATGCTTCTCAATCATCTTTGATTCTGGAACAAAAGGTGGAGAGAGAGCAGCAAACAAATTAGTAAGAAGAACTCAAACATTTCAAACGATTAATATTATTCATGCTACAAATAGAAACATGCAAAGAGAGGTTTAGGAAACTTATGCTTGAACCAATGTAGGGGTAAGAAAAAGAACAAAAAAAAATAAAAAAAAAGCATCAAACAAATAAGAGTACCCATCACATTATTAACATTGGACACACACACCACCCTAAAATTCTTTATGAAACAGTTTCTGTCCTAAAATCTGATTGGCTGAGCCACGTTCGAAACAGTCAAATCCACACATACACGCACACCTATGACCACCTAACAACTGAATTCTGTATTACTGTGCCACAGAAAATTCTTGTGCTTTTAATGGAACAATCTCGGATGGACTGCCGAGTGTACTGATGAAGTAAGAACCCATTTTTTTGGGGAGCTGACAACTTCTCTTGACTAGAACTAGGCTGGTCAGCTATTTAACAGGCTAAAAGACAGTTACCAGCTAAATAACTCCATTATTTCAAGCCTGTGATATTCAGATCGTGCCTAAGAACACCCTCCCCCATGATTAAACCGCAGTAATGCACAACCTCTGGTGGCTTATTGTTTTAATGTGTCCTCTTAAATTCTTTGGGCATACCATGTGCTGCTCGTCTCTGATCTGCAAGCGTGCCAATGTCCTGAAGCTGTTTGCCCTGCTCTTCATCCAAAGTCTGGGTGAGTGCCTGGTACCATGTGGGATCACGGGACTGGATATCTACAGAGAAGAAAGTCCATCAAGTCAACAAGGCATCCTTAAAAAATACCAAAGCATTGCACCGCTTTTAAAGATGGACGCTTTTTACCAAATGGCTCTTACTTTGTAATATGGCTTTAAAGATCTGGTACTCATCAACAGGGTTGTCCTCATCATCAACTGCGGTGGTGTAGCCCTCGAGAGCAGTCTCTTCAGCATCGTCTTCCTCCCAGTCCTCATCATCGCCATCCTCTCCTGCCTGCTTGGCTAACATTTCAAGGTATTCTTGGCCTTCCTCATCAATGTCATCCTCATCACTTCCAAGCTCAGCTAGAAACAAACATGACCCAAAAAATAAAAATAAATAAAATAAAAAAATCAGGGAAGGAGTCAAGCTTACTTTCAACATTGTTCAACATAACATTCTACAAGTTCTGGATGACAGTATATTTCACAGACACAGTATGGGCACATTAACAATGACCTTCCACAGGACTTCTTAACTAATCCCTAACACAACATATTTGACATATTTCCGTATTATCAATTACCATTATCATCCTCCTCTTCTGCATCTTCATCATCGTCATCATCTTCGTTCTCATGCTCAGCCCTACAGGCGTAGGCCCTCTTCAGGCCATTAAACAGAAGGATGGCAGCGGGGAGGAGCTGACCAGCGACTTGATTGATGGCCTGTGGCCTTTGCTCTAGATCCATTAAAGCACAGAGCCCTAACACACACATCTTCCTGTCATGGAGCCTAAAATGACAAAAGTACAGAATTGCTGCTAAAGCAAATGCAGAGGTAAATAAAATGTATGATCAAATCTACAGGACAAGTCTGCCATAGGGAGAAAGACATGAAAGCCACAAGACAAGTACCCGAGGAAGCAGTCGATGTCTTTGAGCCACTGGGAGATAAAGTGGTTGGTGATTGGTTCGGTGTTGTTGGGGAAGCGCAGGTTCTCCAAAGTGTTGAGCAGCAGAGGAGGGCTGTAGTACAGGGCAGCAATGGCCACCTGCAGACACATGGTCCTCAGCTCGCTGGTCTTCACCTCCCGCGTCAAACGCTCCAGCGCTGTGGTTACAAACAAGGGCACCACCTGCAGGGACAAGCAACAACGGCAACTTTATCAATATTGCCCAGTTTAGTTTAATCTCTTAAAACACTTCAATCCCTCACTCTCGTGATTATATAACATTACCTACCAGTTTCATAGTAGCTGCCTGATAATTTATAGGACTCACTATATAATAAGTCTCAACATTAATCATTGAATAATAAGGCCGCAGATTTAGCGGTTTAGGAAGATACCTGGTCAATGCCGCGTCCTTTGCACTGGAGAATGATTACTTCCAACAGCTTGGCAGCATGACACTCTGGGTCCTCACCTGGGTCACCTGTCAAAACCTAAAAAGACAGAACACTCGTTACAGCTGAGTTGTAAACTCAAAATCTCAAATCTACAGTGCATCTAACGGGCTTACCTTTTTGCACATGCTGTAGATGATTTCAAGGTACTTGGTGTCAGACAGAAGAGTGTCTGTGTCGACTGTAATGTAGTTGTGGAGGAGTGGCATCATGTCTGGAAGAGATGTGTGAATAAATAAAGAGCAAAAACATCTCCAACGAATGGGGAGCATGACTTAAAAGGATAAAAGGCTCTTCACTGAGGTCCCTCTTACCAAAAACTTTACACATCAATATTAGGGACACACTGGAATTCTGTACACTAAAAAAATTAAATTAAGCAGGCCTACAACGGATGGACAGAACCCAAGACCTTATCTAGTTTTCATTCAAATTACTGGGATAATGATTAAAATGCTGGTCCCTTCATTTTCCTGCTGTGTTTAAACAGTATGACGGCAACAAAACAGTGAAAATGTTTGTTGTGCGAGACTATTTCAGTTTCTACAAGGGACAAAAATTATGAAAGTCATTACCTTGGACGACCAACCATTCTTTGTTGTTGAGGGCAGTCTACATAAGGAATTAACTTTAATACGTTTTTGTAAACCGCGTCAGCTTTTTATGGTTTTGGTTTTCGGTTTCAAGAGTTTGTCACTGCATAACATTTACCACCTGTATTCAAGCATACAATTGTAACCCTGAGAACTTGTTTCTGGTAAGGATGTAAGGCTGTAAACTACTTTGTACAGGCCTTTCTGGTTACTTGTGTAAACCCTGCAAGATTTTAAGCAGCTTCAAAAACAAGCAAAATGAAATTACCTGTGAAGTAATCAAAACCATCCTGTTGGAAGACTTCATAGACCAGAGGGAGGAGCTGCCACATCTGAGGGGACACCTGTTGACACGTCAGACTGTGGGCCAAGGACAGGATCTCTTCGTAGAACTCTGGGGAACACATACACATAGTGAGGCACCTGACCTGGATAAATATAGGACCACTTTAAAATGTCAGTCACGGTCAGAACGTTGTTGAACTGAGCAGAAAGGGCAATGCTCACCTAGGACGTGCTGCTGCAGCACTGTGCCGATCACCTGCAGGCAAATCCCCTCCAACTGTTGTGTGATCTGAAATGAGCCAGGAAACACTAATAAGCCAGTATTCAGTTACTTGAGCGCTGGCAAGATGCCTCCTACAAAGCACTGTCAATTACTGGAAACAGATACCAAGAAACAAATGTGTATGACTGTCTGACTATTTCCTTCACCAATCTGGTGCAACGAAGTGCCCCAAAGGTGCACAATTACAGCTTTTAATAGATAAACAGCAACTGTCAAGCATTATCCCAAGTTAGACAGACACTAGATGGCTGTGCGGTTGGCTGCTTTACAGTACTAGCCACTCAATCTATATTTCTAGAGTGCCTGCCCATAAGGCATGTTAAAGAGGGCTGGAGAACAGTATGTGTTCCCTGGAGCTTGTGGGTGGCTGGAAGTACATCAGCATTGATACAAGCCAGAGAGGACAGAAAGGGGATGTAATCACATCACAGTGTAGCTGGGCTATACAATACATCATTTGCTAATTATTATTAAAGTTGACCTTCACAATACTGACATAGCAGAAGTATGCATCTTGGCCAATTACAGATATTCATGTGATCAAACAAATGGAAATCAGTTTCTCACATATAATGCAGGCTAGAGCACATAGAAATCATAAATTCAGCCATATAAAAATCAGTGTATAAAATAAGTCCATACTGTACAGCCCTGCTATTATAAACCAGACTGCTCGGCTATGAGAGGGTCAGTCAGAGCGTGGGCATCTGGCTACACAGACCTCTTTATGGTCCTCCACCACACTGAGGAGTGTGTCAATGGTGTTGAGGATGCCCATGGCTGTTACTGCCTTGTCATCGCCTCCTTCCTCGTCAGGGCCAGTCTGGATCACCTGGTTGAAGGTCATAGCCTGGGAGAAGAACATAAGAGATGCATGAGTGCGTGCAAGTGATAACGCACACAGCCCTGCATACTGCAATCATCCTTCTGAATGAATCATTAAAAAACCTCCGTTAGGAGCAGTGACTAAGCCACAGGCTGGAGGGCCTTACCAGATGCTGGGTCATCTCCACAGCAATGGGGGTCACTTCCTCACTGTATTCGCAGATCATCTTCTGGATCACGTTGGTGAGGTCATCGTTCTCTGTCTCGCGCACAATGTGGAGGAGAGCCTGCATCACTGGCCGGATGAAGGGGGTGATGTACTCTTTGGCTACGGGAGAAGGAAACATCTAATAGTGACCACATGTACCACTCAAGATGAGGGCAGAGTGAAAAACTATTTTAAACTATTTTCTTCAAATGGTGCAATCTCAGAGTACTGTCATTATGTCTAATGACATGAACCCTTGAGAGCCTGAAAATTTGTATGTCATTTAAGTCGAACTATCATTGAGAGATAAACTAAACAGATGAACTTCACGTTTCAACTGTACTTATGCTGAAAACATCAAAAAGATCTGCTTTATTATAATTACATGCTTTTGGACATGTTAACTGCAATAACTCAGTTATGAGGATGTGCATCTCTTCCACTAGAGATGGGCCTCGAACAGGGGGGCTCTATAAAGAATTAAAAATGGCAATGATGTAAGTGCCATTTACCTTTCTCTTGATTGCTGATGAGGACCTGCAGGGCAATGGCCGCCTCCACTTTGACGGGCATCTCATTGTCGTTGATGAGGCAGAGACGAGTCAGCTCCAGAGCTGTTTGCAGGTTCTGGTCACTCTTAAACTTCACCTCACAGAAGTAGTGCAGGACCCAACAGGCCTGGAGTCAAGAAAATGAAGTAGAGAGATGTTCAGCAGTGCTCCAAGAAGTTCATATCTGGTTTTTCATTCCTACCGTTTTCAATCGAAATATTCAAGTGTAATCTGGCATAAGGTCTACCAAATAAATCATTTTTAGAGAAAGTTTACTTATTAATGTCGCCTCTTACCCTTGCCCTCATGTAACCGAGCTCACTGCGGAAGAGGGGGAAGACGTGGGTCTGCAGCATAAACTCCATCTGGTCTTTATAGATCTTTTTCTTTAAGGCACAGACAAAAGACAATCAATAATGGGTCGTACAAGATCAGTACCTCTGACAATACATTTTGAAAAGCAATTTAAGAATCAGATCCCACCACAATGGGGGTGTAATTCACTGCTTTTTTTCCCCCCACAACAAACCTTGAGCAAAATCTCAGCCAGGGACCCAATCATGTGAAGTGCACCATCCTTCTTGCGGGGGTCAGAGGTGGGTTCAGTGAGGATCTGATAGCAGAAGCCCATGGTCTTTTGCAACACCTGTAACAGAAGAGGCACAGTCAACATACAAAACTGCAATAAAAGCACACAAACTGCATTCCTTATGAAGTTTTTGTAGGAGAGATTGGAGGCTGGCCAGTGGTAAAAAGTCACTAAACCAGTACTATGATCTCCAGAGGCTCTGTGGCTGCTGGTGAGGTGTGAGCACAGTCACACAGCCTGTAAAACACAGACTGGAGACGGCACTAAACGCAGACAGACACTGCGCACACCGCCCACCCGCAGCCAGTGATTTACTCCCACTTAATGTTATTTTCAATAGTTCGATCAATCAAATTTGGTTAAACAACGCTTTACTGACTTATGACTGTCAGTTGTCAGCTATGAACAGTCATGATTGTGAAGAGTCTGCTGTTTAAGAAATGTTACAATTTAAAACTGATAGTCTTTGAAAATATTGTAGCAAATCAGTGACCATCCCAGACTTTGAGGTTATGCTAGTTTCTGTTAATTATCTTCTCTTTCTGTCAGTTCTTTATACATTGTGTTAAAACAGGTTACTCATGCTAAAGGATACTATTTTCACCATGATATTTTGTGTTTAAATTTGCCAGTTCAGTCTGATGGTGATGACTATGACTGAATATGAAACTATTCATGTGAGATGACTCAGAAGTTGCTCCCAAGTGGTTTTGCCCTATCGTTATGAGACTGCAAGCCTGAATCTGGCAAAGCCACAGCCACAAAAAGAAAATATCACATCGGAGCATTATTGGTAGTATTTTTGCTGATACCAATCAATGGGCAGGTCTTCAATACCGCCCAGTATTACTGAACAACCCACATATTCGTCAGGCTCCAATATATTAAACACGACAAAAAAATGTGAAACTCTAAATATCTAAAAATGCATACACAAAAGGCTGTCAGTGTAATTTGAATGAAAATTTGAATGAAGAAAGCCACATTTCTCCGACAACAGACAAATGCTCCCAACTCATTCTCTCCCCTTTGAGGCAGTCTCGGCAGATGCCCAACCATGACGCTATATGAGCAGCAGGGTGCCGATTGGATACATCAGCATGTTGGCAATGAGACCTATACACTCAGAAACGTGGCCAAACAGTAGCATGCCAGGCCTGTTTATGCCAGATGGTGCTTTGCGAGCACTTACTTCTTTCCTTTTGTTGCAGGCGGTGTAGAGCAGAGTCTGAGCGGCTGTGGTTGGAGAGATGAAGTCCTCAAACACATCTAATGGAAAGTGACAATGAGAGACATCAGTATTGAACTTCCTCAAACTGCTATAAAGAGACTCTTTGCAGCTGCAAACTCTGCAATAACCAACACTCTTACCAAATTTCATGCGGATATACTCATAGGGATCCTCCTGCCACAGCTCCTCATCACTGTCGGTGTAGCACATGAGCGGGAAGACCACGTCCTGAATGATGCCCTGCAATCAGACATGTTCAAAAGACATTCCATATCATCTCTGGACAAAGGAAAAGACAAAATGTGTTTGCCTGCACCAAAAACGATTAGAAGGATGCTAATGAACTCACAGGCTGGCTTTACATGGTGCTCTGCATCTTTCACACAACTTTAGATGCTTGAAACTAAATTTCACTTGTGTTGCCTCCTGCAATCACTGAAAACTTGTTTCATTGTTGATATGGCTGCACCTGCAGCAGCTGAGTATCAAACAAATTTCTCTGAACAGCCAACTGAAAGATGTGATAACACCAGGTAACTCCAAACAAGAGCACTAACAAATCTATTTCAATTAAGATTAACCAAAAGGCCATCAACAAATTCGAGCTCTGGAAAACTCAAGCTTAGAGGCACATAGATTCATCTGTATGGGCACATAAAACATTATAAATATATCTAGATTTGACCAAAACTGCAGACTGATATTTAATGATGTACTCTGGAAGAGCAGAACGTTAGGGGAATATTGGGCTACTGCACTAAAATTTCTGCATTTGTCATTTTACAGCATTCGTAACCCGACAGAAATCTAAGGTCACACTTTTTCTGTAATGCTGAATCATGTGGGTTTAGTCCCAATTACTACATTTTTAAATGCTCACGTATTTGCTTCAACATACTTATATACGGAAGTTCCACATTGAAGCACCCCTAAAAACTTACTCATTGCTTATTTGCTGGAAACCAGTCAGCTTAACCAGCAAGCCAGCCAGCTAACAAACACAGAGCTGTTTAAACAGCTGCTTATGCAACATTCAGATAGATACTTGATTGATCCCGATGCAAATTTGTTAGTTGGCTGTTGTGATTTACATAGACTAATGACGTATGAAAAAGCACAGACTAATATGATGCATGCATAAAACTACTAATCTTGCTAACTACTTGAATAAATGGGTTGCTGCAAGTTGCATGAAAATTTCCCCAAGTAAAGCCTGACTAAGAAAATCTGGAAGATAATTTGCACAAAGCACAGGCCTCTTACCTGGATGTGTGGCTTTAGGTTTTTCCAGGTGATAGCATGGGCAATACCCTGGTTAATGTAGTTTAGGGTCTGCTGCAGGACTCTGGGTGCCACGTATTGCATCTCTTTATACTGATACAAGACCTTCAGCAGCACCTGTAAGGACACAAGCAAAACATTTTAGCATAATGCAGCCACGCCTCAAAACGAGACAACGAAGCCTTCATTTAGCTTCCATACCTGTTGAGCAGCCACGGCGTAACCCTTGAGGAAAAGTTCCGCAAACTCAGTGTACTCTTTGGTCGTGTTGCCAGGGCTGCCATATCTAAGAGACAAAGCGTAATGGTTGGGCATTATGTCAGATTACACTTTTAAAGACACAAAAGACCACTAAAAATAACCAGTCCAGTATTTCCAACTGTTCAGCGTGGGCTGGTAATTCAGCAGTGAGTCATCAGCGAGAGCTCAACCTCCGGTTTCCCAGAGCGGAGCTGAAGCGCTGCGCTCCGCAAGCGAGAGAGCGAGGGCGTGCTGTACCTCTCAAAGAGCCGGGCCAGGATGTGGAGGGCCCACTTCTTACACTTCCACCAGGGAAGCTCAGGCCTTTCGTCCTCGTCCACTTGCAGGGTCTCCTGGAGAGCAGCACACATAGGAATGGTCAGTTGGTGCTCAACACCTAAAGAAATGACTACGCAAGACTACTGACTTGTGTTTTTGCTAAAGAAACACCGAAATAGTCAAGCATAAGCAATGTATACCATTTTACATTCCGCTCTTTAGGGTAACCTGTTATCTTCACTCAATAACACATGCTTCACCTAATCCAGTGGTTCCTAACCCAGGTTGGAGTACTCTAGCAAACTTGATGTAACTAATCAGCTAATTAACAAGCCCTTCCTGAGTTAAAATGGTTGTGCTACTGTATGGAAAGTTATTCAGCTGTACTAACTAGTTATTTTAAATATGTTTCAAAACTTTTTATTGAAGTTCCACTCCTTATTGACCATGTTAATTTACTGGATCAAACTTTGCAGGACAACAGACCCCCAGTAGAGGAACTGTCGGTCATCGCAGTACTAGACTACAAAACACTGTCCCTGATGACTTTTTGTAGGAGAGATTGGAGGCTGGCCAGTGGTAAGAAGTCACTGAGACGTCACAAAGCCAGTACTATGATCTCCAGTAGCTCTGTGGCTGCAAGTGTGGCGTGAGCACAGTCACACAGCCTGTAAAACACAGACTGGAGACGACACTAAACGCAGACAGACACCACGCACACCGCTCACCTGCAGCCAAGCCATATACTTGAATAAACTTGAATAGCCCTATATTAGCTGATAATGGGCCCTTACCGGAGGTACATCTCTGTCCACTACTGTCTTCAGAATCTCCATCCACTCAGTCAGGTTCTGCCTGTTAATAAGCTCCAGAGGGAGATTATACTGGAACGGAACGGAAAGCAACCATTACACCAAAGCTTCAAACAACTAAGATCCAATAATACTCTAAACACTAGGCACTGGCCCAGTTTTGAACACTTTGAAGTGAAATCTCAAGCTAAAAGAACAGGAGTACCTGAAAGAGGGCATAGAGGATTTTGAAGATTTGTTTCTGCACCAGCACTGAGTCACTGGAGGGGTCTGGCAGCAGCTGGATGAATCGGTCTTTCAGCATGGGCATGAAGATCTGCATGGCAGCAATCAGGGGCTGGCGCTCATCAGGTTTCTTGTACCTGTAACAAACGAATGCAACAATCGTTCACAAAAAACAAACAAACACATTTTCCTTTACTACAAATGTAGTCATCATAAAAGACACATCTTATGTCTGAAGACGGCTTCTTTAGGTTTTTCACTGGAGATATGAGGCTCAAATATAGTTATTCTTTATAGATAAAAGCATGTCAAGTAGTATCTGAAACTAGACACCTCAATGTGTTTTTTGAGGTAATTTAGGTCTACAAAACGCTAACCTGGTAGCCATACGTTTTTTTTTTTACTACTTAGCTAAATCTGCTTCATAACTCCATGCAAATCAAAAGGAAAGCAAAGCAAATTCAGATACCATAACATGTCTTGACTGATCACCTACATCTGGGTTGTGCTGGGCAAAATAATTAAAATTCTTGAGTTTTCATGTATGCAGGTATATATTTTGCTATTAGTAATTGGATGATTTGTTTTTTTAAGCCACAAAAATTGGAACCTAAAATTAATTTCATCAGCAATGACCTTTAGATAGAACAGTGTTTGTTAATATATAGAAAATGTTAAAACAAGTCAATTGTAATTGGTTTAGCTGAATACAGCGCAAATTCATTGCAGGCATTCACGTCACCTTGTCTCAGAGCACAACGATCTGCACTGCTTTCCATGCAGCCACTCAAGCTAAAAGAGCATTACTGTACAAAAAGAAAAACGGTACAGTGATCCTTATCCAAGTACCAAGTACCCTGGGACCAATCCACTGTTTTTCTCCATTTCCTTTGTAATTAAACAGTTTTACAGCAAGTTTAAAACAAAAACAGCAGACTTGCTTATTTCTATAATAGCACAAAAGCAAGTTTCTGGATCTCTATGGAGTTTACACTACACTCAGGTGCAGGTTTCAAAAAAGCCTTGCATTTTGACAGATATAACACATCTATCACCACTGGACTGGACTGAAACTCATTCAAATTAAGCAGCATCTGTTCCATCAGATGGTTGATTAAAAATAGCTTAAAATATTGTTTTTACAGGTGATTGACAACAAGTGTTCAAAGCCTGTAAAATCCTGTTCAGGTCAGCCTTGGATATCTGTGGATTTTTAGCTTGTGCTGACTGTTGTCTTACTCATAATTCTTCACCAGCTGGTAGAGGCACAGTAGAATGCCCAGCCAGCAGGCACTGTTGTCAGACTGCAGGTAGAAACCGATCTTGTCAACGATGGCTGTCCACTTGTTGGGGTAGTCATGCTTAATCATGTGGTGAATGCAGGTGGTGAGCTGCACTCTGGAAGCAGACAGTAAAGAAATAAGCAGTTAAGACACAAAAGGGAACAAAGCCCACACCCCTCTAGAGTGTGTGCATTTATATCTACAGAGACACTTATCAGCAAAGGCCATGTTACCTGATGCGCTCTGGGGAGTGGATGATGGCCTCCACTATGTTGTCTCGGATGAACTGGCGGTCCTCTTCAGGGATGTTGCTGGCGGCAGGCGCCTCATTGTTTGTGTTGTCGCCTTCGCTCCAGAACTGCGTGACCATGTTCTTCATATAGATCACTCCTGCATAAGTGAAGAATATCATTGCTGTTGTAAGAAAACCTCATCTCTCAGAGAGAAGATTACAGAAGCTAGCACAATTGTCAAAACATTCATGCACTCTAAAAGGCAGATAGTATTTAAGTGGTTTCAAAAGGTACTGCTATGGCAGCAAACATATTTAGGCACACAAGTACACTTACAAATGTATTTATATAAATAAATTAAAATCTATTATAAATTTATAGTGAGTACAAATGCACTGTTTGACTGACAAATGAAAGAACACCGTGTTATTCTGTGTGCTCTTTCCATTACAATAGCTGGAATCAACCTTGTACTGTTATGTGGGGCACTTTTAGCTAACATTTCAACTCCAACCACTACAGAACTGATTCACTTTCATTCTGTTACTAACACCAGTCTGTTCACTCTGGTCTGAGCACCAGTCAGAACCAAACCTGTACTGTAGAGTGGCTCTGTCTGAATCTGTCCAGACACCACAGAACAGGTTTAATTTCCACTTTCTGTCCCTCCAACACCAGTTGCTGGTCTTCATAATCTAACCCTGTGTGACTAGCTTCAGATCATGAAGCTAAGCTCACGGCCTCTAGCTCATCTCTCTTACTTACTGGCACCGTTTAACATTTAGCAATTGATGGCTTGACATACAGAATGATGCACTGCATTCATTCTGCTACCGTGTTAGCAAACAGCTTTACTTGATTGTTTTTTGTTATTCAATAATGCAGGATGTGGTGGCACAACAGCAACAAACACAGAACCCATCAGCGAACAGCTACGCCACCAATCCCTCCCACCTGAACGGTTTTATGGCCCTGAGCAGACTGCTAACCCTGCTGAGGAGACCATGCCCTTTTTTTTTATTACCCCTGAAAAAGCATCCTGCTGTTAACATCATCTTAACTCAAAGAGAATATTCAGTGCGATTCTCACTCTATTTAAGAATAGTCTTTGTGCTAAAATGCTCCCAGAAAACCCAGCACTCAGCAATGCGTAAGTGTTGAAACGGTTACTCTCGGTGCTCAGAAGCATTCTGACCTACAGTAGAAAGAGGCCATAATCTAGTTAGAACATGTTTCAGCTGACACTACCTGTGTTAGCGAGAATGCATGACTGGAATAAAGCACCAGCATGACAAGTGCCTTAGTCATAATATTGAAACATTTCGATAATAACTGAAACAAGGCCAGTGAAGAGACAGGTGTTCTTTATTCATCCAAAGCTACAGGAACCCCTGAAAAAGCTGAGTTACAGCAGGCTCTGTGCATCAGCTCACCAGAGCTTGTGCTCAATAAGACCAGCAGGTGTGCTTTTCAAGCACAATCAGGACGCTTCTGTATTCATCTCCACACACATACAGTCAGGGTCCATTACAAATCCCCTTCCACTTATGTATTCACCTCCTGTCATCTGACACAAGGGCTCGTAGTTCAGCCTCTATTTCATGTGGAAATCAGCGCCGCGTGGCTGTGATCCAGATGACATAGCATAGAGCGCTTGGCGTTTGGTGTTGAAATGTGGAAGGGCTGTGTGAGACGACTTCAACCGGCCCAACCCTCAGCCTGTGCTCTCTAGTCCTCCAGCTAAAGGTATGGATGGTTTTGATGGGAGTGAATTGGACAGCAGACTGCTGACACGGATGTGCCTGTGCAGCCGGATGAGGTTAATCCTTCCAGCTGCTGAAACAGCAGATCTCTTAGTGCCCCTTTCCAGCCCCAATCTAACTGTCAGTCCTGAAATGAGAGGGGGGTACCGTAGCTCTGCTTCTGCTGAGGTGTGTACACCCAAAGAACTGGAAAGCTTAATCTGCTCCTTCTACTGACATTTCTTGAACTGTGTTCAGTTCCGTGTTAAAGGTATAAAAAGTTATGATGAATCAGTCAAGTGATTAAAAATCAATCAACAGAAACTCAATGGAAATGGAACACATGATAAATAATTTGTTATATGTTATAACCTATTTAAATAAATAAAGAAATGAATATAAAGAATATTTAAAAGAACTTGGGTTATTTTCATATGTAAAAAGGCAAACATTGTAATATGTATTATTTTTGCAGTCTACATTCCACAGTTCCAGTAACATGTGTTGCCCCATCTGACCCCAACCACACTTCCTCGCCCGATTTTTATACAATATGTAATTTGTTAATTTTTATACAATATGTAATTTGTTAATTTCTTATTTTTCTGTTCCATTTGTATTTCAAGGTATTTTGTGTGATATTATGAAATAAATACTCAATTCTGAATTGAAACCTATCATCCTTCTTTATTTGTACACTGCTATGTCTAAAAAAATCTTTCATGGGATGGTACTTCAAATAATCATCTTTGGAAAATTACATGTAAGAAGGGTGGAAAATACCATTTTCAGTTTTTCGTTTTCATTGCGCTTTTAGTCGACCTCATACCACTTAGTGCCTGCTATCATGTAAATACAACAAATCTGTCTTATATGCCATGTAAATGCGCAAATAGATATACTTTTATTCTTACTCTCTTATACTTTAACTTATGTACATTTTTTGTCTACTTTTATTATTTCTGCCTATTTTTATTTCTATTATTTATTTTCTGCATAGTATATATAAATTTATATGCAATTATGTCACGCTGCAATTTCCCTTCAGGATTAATAAAGTTCTCTCTCTATCTATCCCCATCTATCTATCTCTAAAGAATCTCTACATGATGTAAAGATTCAATAACAAAAGATGTTTCTTAGAATTATACATTCAAGCCAATAACCATTTAGCAGAGCTGAATGATTTAGGGGAAAATATCTAACTGCATTTTTTTGACCAATATTGTGGCTGCAATAGAAATAATCACAGTTTAAATAAGTTGAATTTTTTTTTTTGCCAAAAAAACCATGGCCTCTTCATCTGGCTTGAGGCTTGAATGCTGCATGTGTTGCACTAAAGTGCCAGTTATTTGTAATTGTGTTGTTACATACACAGCATGTGACTGTTTGGTTGCTTCTTAATGCTTCAGCTCATCTGGAAGTGGCTCACATTTGCACTTAAATTTCAAACTGCGATTTTGATAAAAACAATTTTTTAGTGCTACCAATAAGGAACCTTTATTTTACAAGGATGCATTTTAAACAGTTCTAAATCATAAATTTCACGTCTGTGTGATTGTAAGATTTCTAAATATCCTAACAAAAGAACTGAATCGGTGTGAGGCCAGAGAGTTTTACACCCCTACTTCATGTGGGAAAGCTGTGATACCAGGAAGAGCTCAGATAACTCTCTAAGAAGTGCTCATGCCGTGACCACGGCCAGCTCCTCCTCCAGCAGCTCATCTTACTGTGACGGCAGCTCATTAAGGGACTGCGCAGGAGGCACACTACATTACAAAGGGGTTGGGGGGGGCGGGGGGTGGGGCTGACACGGTTCCAGCATTTAGAGCTTTAGCCACTGAGCACATTTCACTGACACTCCTGCCACCACCACTACAGCAATGACAAGTCAAATTGAATCTGGCCAAATTGGAGTCAGATGCAGTGGCTCAGTGGCTAACTGGCAGCACGGTCATGGGACATGTGTTGGCTGTCTCAGTCTGGAAGAAATGTCCCGTCTACTCAAATTAACCTCTGGGTAAAGCTCTACGATGTTATGATGCTGTTTTTCCTCCCAGGAGCAGCAGAGTATTATGTGGTGTGGGAGTTGTAAGGCAGCAGATGTTGTAACAATTACTCATGGGTGATAATGTGATGATAAATTGAGAACGCTGCGAGAAAAATCTCAGGTTAAATATGTCAGGACCTTTAAAACGTCAGACACAGATTAAGCTCTCTCTTAAGCAAACACAGTCCGATGAGGTCTTTTTTTAAGCACTCAACACAGAAACCATCTGAGGAATGTGGTCAAAGAGCTCCTCCTAACCTTATAATGAAGGTTTACACAACGTATCAAATGAAACAACTGTGTGGAGCACAGGACATTTATGGAGAACAGGAGTGTGTTCCTTGTGTTTTTAAAGAATCCACTCAGTGGAAAATAATGTAACTGAGACAGACCTTAAGTCTTTAAAAAGAACAACAATGTATGAAAAATCTAGTTCTCCCCACTTATATTCTATAAAGTTAGATCCAGGTCTGTATTTTAAGCCAAGATGACCACCAGATCCACTTGTTTCTAGCTTAAAAAGTTTGAACGCTTAATGTAAAGTGTCCTGTGAGTGTTTGGTCTACCTAGTCCACAGGCAGTCCACAGGCAGTTCACAAGCTCCATGTCATCAGATCAAATTTCCTCACATAAAACTAAAACTGTAGCTCGTCATTTGAAAATCATGCTCTTTTAAATTGTGATAATTTTCATGTCATGCTTTCAGCCATAGCTGCTGCCTCCATGTGCTTGTATACCCCAATGGACAAAAGAAACTTTGAAAAATGATGTGGGAAAACTAGTATATAAAAATGTGGAGACAGAACACATCAGCTCAGTGTCACTGCATGATAACTGATGGACTAACAAAGCAGAGAACATGCTCCTCACACTGTGTCACAGGGCCACAGTGGACACGGCATATCTTTGGCTTGACAGCTCAGATACCATTCACAGTTGTCTGGGGTGCACCACAAGGATGTAAACAAAAAGGAACGTTCAAATGTCTAAACGACCGCGTACCTGCTTGCCGCACAGGCAAATCCAGCTGTTCAGACATGGTCACCTGCAGCAGCGTGGATGTGAAGTTTACCTGGGCATGGCCCTGTGAGAGAGAGAAGAAAAAATAATCATGTTTTACATGCTTTAAAAGAAATAGGATTAAAAAATTGTGTATTCCATAAATGTTTATTTTCCAGCCTCTGTCAATAAAATGGGAAAGTCATACCTTGTTATCGGTACCCTAAATAAACTAAGTGCTTCAAGTGACTGACTATGAGCCTTATTTCCAGGAACATGGGGCACACTTCAGGGTGGGCAGCATGTTTACACTCAGGGTCTTCACAATACAGGATGAAACTGCATATCAAACTCAAACTGAGGATTTACAGGATTATCCTTAACATGGAAAACCAAAACCCCCTTGCTTTTTGCTTTAAAAATAAGTTTTTTAAAAAATGTACTATTCACTCCCTCCTCCATACAGTCAAAATATGGAAACTACAATGAAGAAAAAAAAAGCCAACAAAAAACCCCAGCAGGTTTTGAATTGATTCCTTTTTTGTGGTCAGCAAAATCAACACTTACATATATCTGTTTATTTCACCTACAGCTGTTTAACCCTGCCTATTCTCAAGTTACAAGGAGTGTTGCACCCTGATTTCTGAATGAGGCATGATACAGTGCAGCTAATCATAATCAGAGATCATTTACAAGTAGCAGTCACAAAAACAGCCTGTTTAATTGACAAGGCTAAAACAACAGCCTGTTAACTGTTTTTGGGATATAAACCCACACAAACATCATAAATGGATCACATAAAACAAAAATGTGGGATACGGGTCATTTAATATTTCATATTGGCTTCTTGGATATTACAGATCCTGTGTCCTGATTTAACATTCCATTACACCCGACTAAATGAAAATACTTCACTCGCCTCAAGCGGTCACAGGTACAGTTAAACAAAAGGGATTTTAACTGCATGCCTCTTTTCCAAATGTGCCTGTAAATTGCAATTATCTACTATTGCAGCGTTGGGGGAATACAAAACTGCTGCAGATGCTGTCGGCTGAACTTCACTTGGAAGGCTGAGAAACAAGAAACATCTGTTGTCCTTCAATAGACTGCAGCAGCTGACTTTAGCGGTGCTGAAAGAAAGCCTGAATTAATACATTTCTTAGACAGCACCAATTAAGCACTCTCAGATCCCTAGTGATACGCAATATGAATGTTTACATATTTCTCATATGATTACACTAGGGGGATTAACGTCTACAGAACTTTAACCCCTACTTTAAAGTTTACAGATGCTTCAACTCCTACTCTCACGGCTGCAATTTGCCCTTTTATCCAGAGAATACTAAGAGTGAAGCTCTAGACAGTGACGTTAAAAAATGATTAATATATATTTCTTTTTACTTAAACGACTGAATTGCCATGTCACTGGTGGTGCGTGTTCTCGCCCTCCCTCTCTTCACAAAATGTGTCAGCACCCAGGAATCTAAGCCTGTGGGCCACATGGGCTGCCTGGAGCCAGGCCAGCATGGTGGCTCTGTCACTGGAGACTGCAGCAGGCATCAATCCACTCCCCCATTCAACCTGAGTCTGTGTTCATTTGCTAACCACTTCTCCTTTAACAAACCAAAAACTGTCCATTAGGCGGCCAAAACAGAGATGAGGCAAAAGAGCACAAATAATGAACAGTGAATGAACTGGACTGCAGGACTTTCTAAGCTGACCAGGCACTGGTCTTAGCCATGATCTAACTACTAGTGCTGAACTGCCACACAGGGCGCACAGAAGGCTGCTAAATGAACCTCTCTCTCCCTCCCTGCAGTGACAAATGCACTTTCTAACCTCTCCCTGGATACCACACAACATGACTCACCTAATGCTCAGGACTTCCACCATACATTCCTTAGTGCCGAGTGCATGTTTAAAGAAACTGTACACTTAAGAGGGAAAACACCCATTAGCGGCCTTTGTTTTCATTCCAAAGAGGAGTTAGGTTATACACGAGACGGACGAGCCTACATGAAACACTCGCCTTCTAAATGAACAACACACTAAACAAAGCAGCGGCTAAGCAATAAATACATAAAGTTATTTCACTTAAGCGGCCAGCAGCTCGTAATTTACAGTAACTAACAGTTATACGGATTCTAAGTTAATGTTGCGGCTCAGAAACCACAATATCTGTACAAAAGAGAGAACTTGGCAAACACTTAGAGGTAATTTTTTAACCTTTTTCCTCGCGTTATGACACATTTCCGAGTGAAAGCAAATGCTAGCGCTGGCTAGCCGTCTTCCCCCACAGAGAAAATTAGCAAATATGATATTAAGTTAGCGAGCTGCCTTCGTTACACTGGCAAGTTACTGTCCAAAATGACCACGGATTAACTAACTTTGATGTTAACCCGTGTTTTGCTGACAAAAATTCATATCAAAACCCCAAATGTCACACAGCTGACTAACGCTAACGCTACTAAGTGAGCAGTCGCTGGCTAGTTAGCTAGCGTTGGTAGGGAAATGCCATTACTGACAGTTAAATCAACTGCGCTAAAACGGCCCGAAGACTCGGACACAGCGAACCGTCGCTACAGACATTCCGTCGTTTTAAACGTCTGGATAAATACAGAAGTGCTTCGGTATCGCTGACCACAACCTAACTGGCTAAGCTTTACAGTTAGGTTAAGTTCACGGAAAGTCTTCGCCGGCAACGACGAACAACGACAACAGCCACCATGACACGTGAGAGAGACTGTTAGCCAAGTTAGCTGGCTAAGTTAGCACTCGAGCTAACTGTGCATCAATGGGAGCCAGCATTAGGTAGACATTTACAACGGGATAAACGTACAGCTGCTACAACCAAAAGCGCTGACGTCTCTTACGGTTACGCTGCCCTGAAACACAGTAACATCGCCGAACGCTTGGTTTGCGGGTTACATTGGAAATTAGCATGCTAACTAGCTATGTAGCATAGCTCACGTTAGGCTCCATCGGCATTGAAAAACCCGGGCAGCCGAGAAGCGGGGCCGGGAGCGAAAGCAGCGGCCTGACTTGACAGCATGGATCATTAACTACCATCCAGCCAGTTAAAGACGCTACTGCTTAGTGTGAGAAGCGCAACGGTTCTGCGATACACCGTCCAGCACTGCGGCAGCGGCGCTGATCACACGCAGGTGAAGACTCCACGCTGTCCTGCTGAGTGAAGGCCCAAAGCGCTGCCACCATCATCATCACCACCATCACCACACCATCATCACAGCGGAGCGCGCTTTACCTCATTCAGCTGTCTCTCTGCGGCCTCGCGCAAATTCGGGTCCATGGTGCCCCTCAGGGCCTCAATCAGAGAGTTAGGATCCATAGCGAGGTTCTGGGTCTGGCTCGGATTTGGAAGGCTTCAGCGATCTATGAAGTCCGAGGCGATGCGCACATGGACGCGCGGCTCTCCGGCTACCGGCGCGAAAGGAAGAGGAGTCTGGACGGGTCGGATAAATCAGCGCCAAACTTCCTCAGCCAACTTCCGCCTGCCGCAAGGTGCATTGTTGGAGATGTAGTTTTTTTGGCTATGGAACAAAAAGTCCTAAACCAAATGTAATGGCAGTGCAGTATTATTGTTTTTTCCCCTCCTTACTGTAAAAATGACTTAAACATTTTTATAAGGAACGTAGATTGATGTCCTACACACTTAAAAATGGTTCTTTATTTAAGGCTATGTTTCTATTTAGAGCCATTCGTTCCATATGAAACCGTTTCATGCTTGAATGGTACTTTGCATGGTGAAATGGTTCTTCGGAATCTGTACAGCACCCAAAAGGGTTCTTCTGTTGTCAAAGGCTTGACATTGTAACAATAGCAGAACGGTTTTTGGTGCTATATAGAACCATTTTCAAAAAGGTTCTATATGGAACCAAATACAACACATTCTGAAGAACCATTTAACCATGCAAAGAACCATTTCAGCACAAAACAGTTCTTTATAGAGTTCATGGTTCTGAATAAAACGAAACCTTGAGGAACTTTTTTTAAAGAGTGTAATTTGCCACTACAGGACATTACCAGTTCAGATTAGTATAAGACAGTACTATAGGCATATTATAGAGAGACCAAAATATTATCGATTATTATATAATGATTATACAGCAGCATATTTTTATTCAGCATTACTGTATATTGCTGTTGTGGGTAGATATGCTGAATATATATGGAGCCAGTAGAGGCGCTGTTCGGCCTTCGCTGCCTTCCCCACAGCGCTGTCGTGGAACGGACAGAAGGTAAAAGGTCACTACCGCTGTGTTGGTTCTACTAACCGGGTGATTTTCCAGCTCCCATCTCGATGAGCAGCATCTGAGGAGACCCACGGCCAATTTTAACGTTACTGTTAGGTTTTTTCATAAGTCAAAATGGCCAAGAAGAGAAGCGGAGTCCGTGAAACAGAAGGCGCTGCCCTGTTAGAGGAAGAGTCGACGGTTAAAGAAACTCAGTCCCTCAAAGGTAACCAAGCGGCTCACAGTCAGGGTTTGAAACGTTGGCTACGGAACGATTAGCTTAGGCGATTACTCAGCGAAGATGTTTAGCTAGATAACTGACAGAAAATAGTTCAGAAAATAGTTTGACCGCGTGTTTCACCTCGTCTCGGACACAAGACCGGCTTAATGAGCTTTCGGAAGCTGTAATGTTAGCTTAGACAGCTACTGAGATGTTTCTTTTTAGCTAACCTAGCTGTGTGAAGTAGTCTTGTTTGCCGGACGTTGTGAACCTGTTCCCCAATGTGTGTATATAAATAGCCAGCAGCAACTCCAGTGTCGAGTTTAGCCGAAGAACCTTTGTCTTTCAGATATTCCAAGTAAATAGATATAGAAAATAGCTAAGTAGGTTATATTTAGGTGTTTGAGTAGGAGAGTTGTCTAATGTAGTAATTATAGTCAGGCCGTTTAAGATGAAAGCGACGTAACCCTTCATAACCTCTCTGTATCTGTGTGTGTGTGTATGTGTCTCTGGGGATTTTAAACAGCTGACGCAAAGTTGAGCAATGCGTTGCTCTTTCATTGAGGCGGAGTCATATCATATCGTATGTTATCTGATAGAACTGCTGCTTTAAGCAGTGAACATTTAAAGAAATGTTTACGGTGTTTTTCATTGTTTCATTTTCTGCCAGGAGGTCAGCAGTACTCCGGTGGAGGCTCTGCCCGAATGTCCCTCCTTATATTGCTGTCCATCTTTGCATGTTCTGCCTCAGTTATGTATCTGGTTTATAGAAATTTCCCTGAGCTGAGCGAGTAAGTATGTTTCTTCTCTTAGCTATATATTTACCACTTTTTTCATGACAAAAAGTTAATAAAAAAAGGATGTGTTTATTATTATTTTAGTCTTTGTACTTATAAGCATAGTATATTAACCATGAATACGATGATAGTGATTATTATTGCTATTTCCTTGTTCACTCATATATTAAGCTACCCTTTTTCCCCATTTTCCCTGTTTCCTTTCAGAGATGAGAGGAAGACGATAAAAATCCCTAAAGACATGGATGATGCTAAAGCATTGGGTACAGTGCTTTCCAAATATAAGGACACTTATTATACCCAAGTGCTGTTAGCTTATTTTGCTACATATATCTTGTATCCTTTGTGCTACAGGTTTTTTTCCTGACTTGTTTTCCACCTGCTTTCTGGTCAAAACAGTGTTGATATAGAAGCCATTGTGAAAGCATTCTGAGTTACTGACATCGGCCAACATATGTATGGAACAGTTTATCTGTGTAACATCTACTGTTGTACCACATTGGTGGTCTTTTGCAGAATTTGCAGGTTGCGTAAGTGTTTTCTGCTACATTTTCTGCATATATTTGCTGACTTCCATGCTGCCGTCTACTGCTGACAATCAGTATGTTTATAATTAGAATTCTGCAGTCGCTCAAAAGGTCTGAAGTAAACAAAGAAAGAAAGAAGAGGAAAACCATAAAAAATCAATGTCTTTGTACTCAGTTAAGGCAATGTTAGAAGCACTTAAAACCAGTTCTGGCCGAATACCCATAGGAAATGTTGTATCTGATAAAGAAAAATTCTACTACATAATTCAGTATTTAAGATGTAAACAAAGTCATTCAGAGTAGACTCGTGTGAACCAGGAGTCACAATATCTACACTTCATCTACAACCCATTTTATTTACCATCCCAAACAACCTCTGAACCTACACGTGTCTTCTGAGTCTTTATATGCCACATTGGTAATGGTTAACGTCTCCCAGTACTGCATCATCCCTCCACAATGAATGGATTTTGAAAATATGTTTTGGACCAAAAGCTCTTTAAAACTATCATAAAACAATGTCTTAGACATCAGGCTTAATATTCATAAACATTTACTGTAATAGCTTTCAGTGAGGAAGTTTTAGAGGTGAATGTCTGGTTCCTGTCACCACCACTGTGAACAATTTTGACCCAGTTTCTCTAGAACAGAGCATTTCACACCAAACCTCTCTGAATGACTTTTTTACTTTAACAACAGAGAAAGTTTGGGGGAAAAAATGGTGGAAATTATTTTTGAGTGTAATAATTTGATGATAATATAAATATTTGGTAATATATTTGATAATATAAATATGGGATTTATCCTTAGCTGTGTACATTGTATAGACATATAAAAATCTGGGACAGTGTGTTTTACTGTGTACAGACTGGTATGAGCCTCATTCACCAATCATTCTTAAGAAGAAATTTCTTCTTAAAACCCACTTATGCAGTTTTCATCAACATTCAAAGATTCACCAACATTTTCTTATTTGGGGTTTATTCTTCGGTAAGAGCAGCATCTACACACACTCAAGAGCACAAAGATGCAAACAATTCTGCAGTTTAAGAACACGTATTGAATCTGACCCAGACTATTTCTTAGCACCTTTCTCAAATACAAATGTAAGAAAAAACTTATGAAGATATTGGTGAATGAGGCCCAGTGTTTGCCAAGTGAACCTTTAGTTAATTTAACATCTTAGCCTGAGAAAGACCATTGAGACTGAGTCAGAGAGACAAGTGACAAATGACTCATAGACTGATTACTGTTTGGAGTATTTAGTGTTGAGTTTAACTTCCTAACCTTTGTTACATAATGTTCTGTACATATTCTGTAATATAAATCCTTTGTGGACCTTGACTGTTTTATCTCAGCCTCCAGACATTTGCAATTCCAGGTTCGATTTTCCTCAGTATACTGTCTGGCTATCTCTATCCCTTCCCCCTAGCCTTGTTCCTGGTCTGTCTGGTAAGTATGACCTAATCATTTTCTCAGTGTAAATTAATTCCATACGTGGCCAAAAGTATGTGAACACCCTTTCTAATTAGTAGGTTTGACTGCTGAAAGCCATCTGTCAAAATGTGTTGTGCTTTAAAGTTTGATGGAGGAGGAATTATGGTCTGGGTTGCTTTTTCATAGTTTGGGCTGGAACCGTTAGATCCGGTGAAGGGAAATCTTAATGCTAAAGCATACAATGGCATCCTAGAGAATTGTGTAATTTCAACTTTCTGGCAGTAGTTTGGGGAAATAGTTGCTTTCCTATTTCTGCATAGCATTGCGAGATTCATTAACTTGCTTTGCTGAGTTTGATGGGGAAACCTGTGAGTAGCCTGCATCTGTCCTGATCTGAACCCCATGGAACATCTTTGAGATGAATTGGAACGCTGACTGCCTGGCCTCATTGCTCATTATAAAACTGATACTTCCAGTCCTAAAATCTGATTGGCTAAGCTGCGTTCGAAGCCATTGTAAAATCCACGATATACCACAGCTATGACTGCCTCACAACAACTTTACTCTGTGTCACTGCACCACAGCATGAAAAACCCTTCTGCTGTTAATGGAATAATCTTTGACTCTAATGCTGATCGCACTAAGCACCGAGTGAACTGATTAAGTAAGAACCCGTTTTTGTTTAAACTGAGGGGCTGAAAACTTATTTTCTTATCTAGAACTACGCTGGTCAGCTAGCCAACAGGCTAAAAGATGGCAAACATGCTAAACAGCTCAAACATTAATATCACAGGCTTGAATTAAAGTACTCACAATATGATTCACTGAAAAACGGCACCATAAAAGTCTAAAGAACGTCACCTAAATGGCTCACACGCTTTAAATATCCGTGTTTCAGTCAGAAGTAGCATCAAACCCAGGCTGAATCCCAAACGGCTCCATACTCCCTAGCTACATAGTGTGCTGTGTAACATTTAAGTTTAGAAATTCTACCTTCTGCTCTCAAATAGTGACTGTCTGTCGAGTATAAATATGGATCAGTTCCAAATGACAGTGTTTTTAGCGATATTTTGCATTGTTGAGCTGCAGGAGTCAGTATTTAAATACCTACATAGTGCACTATGTAGGGAGCAGGGAGCCATTTGAGATTCAGCCCCAGCGTGAGCAGAGTGGCGTCGTCAGACTGGCAGAAGACATGCGGTGGTGATTTGGTGGCCAAAACGTACTTATAAACTGAAAGGTTTTGCATTAAACATGGCTGTTATCATATGTTCACTGTTATGCGAAAATTTTTTTTAAGAATTATGAAATGTCTGCAGTTTGCAGTATATAGAATGTTCTTCTCTTCATTCAGCGGTCAATGGTTGCTTAGCAACAACACCATACTCTAAAGGAGCTACATTTCTTGGCGGAATATTTGTTTGTCAATTATTATTATTAATAATAACTTAAATAATTATCTAAAATGTTGTGTATTTTAATATATTTTATGTTGGCCACCATTTTATAAAAGCAATAAGCCATTTGAGGCAGTGCGTTGCCACGATTTTATCACGGGGAAGGGAGTTTTACTCCGCTTCGCGTTGTGCCCAAGAACACCCTTTCCCGTGATAAAATTGCAGTAACCCACGGCCTCTCATGGCTTATTGCCTTAACATCAGTGCCTGACATCACTAATGCTCATGTGGCAAAATAGAAGAGAATCCCCACAACCATATTCCAAAATCTGGTGGAAAGCCCTCCCAGAAGAGTGCAGGCTGTTATAGCAGCAAACCAGCTCCATGTTAACACCTTGTTTTTGGAATGAAAGGTTCAACTTGTACATGTGGAGTGATGTTTGGGTCTCAACATACTTTTGTCCGTATATGTTTTTTTTGATAATATAAGAATAGATTAGGAAGTACATCCAGTATATCCACTTAAAATGTATCCAATATGAACACGTAAAAAGTATATCTACACTCCCATGCAAAAATGGCAAGCATTGAGGTTTCAATGGTTTTAACAACAAATCATTAAGCAAATAGAGAAAGTAACTTTGTATAGGATATTTTTTCCCTTTGATTTCTTTAGATATTGAAGCCTTGTTTGTAAATTTACAGACAAGCTTTACAGAAAGAAGAGTCAGTATTTTTCCACTCAGCATTGATGGCTTCAAACAGTTGAAAAACATTGCCAAGTTAGTTTGTGTTTAATGTGAAATGTAATATTCTCTATAGGGTTTAAATCTGGATTCTGATCAGGCCAAAACCTTCAGTAAAATACATTATATTCTGGGGTTGCGCCCCAGTGTTTTTGCACTGGAGTGTAGGTTTTAACATACCTGTAATGCATACTGTTCACTAACATCTAGATTGTTTCCTTTTCAGTGTTCAGGCCTTGGAGCTTCCTTCTGCTATATGTTGTCTTATTTAGTTGGCAGACCGGTGGTCTACAAATACCTCACAGAGAGAGCCCAGAAGTGGTCTCAACAGGTAAGAGATTAACATGACTGGATATATTGATCCTCATTCAGTTAGTGTGTTGGAATTTAGTTTGACCATTATAATGTTACAGGTGTAATTGAAACATGTTTATTTCTGTTTGTCTGTCACCTTTTACGTATTTTAAGCAAATTCCACTTTATACTGAATGGTTGCCTTGAATTTATCTACAGGTAGATAAGCACAGAGAACACCTCATCAATTATATAATTTTTCTGAGAATCACCCCCTTCCTCCCCAACTGGTTTATCAACATAACTTCCCCGGTCATCAACGTGCCTCTAGGAGTCTTCTTCATTGGTACATTTCTTGGTAAGACTGAAATGGTGCTTAATATCTAAATTTCAGTTCTGTGTGTTTCATTCGAAATACTTTTATTTTTTCATAAAGTCAAGAACTTATGTTTTAGTTTGAGCTCAAATAACATTTAACGAGACAGTCCATTTTAGCATGTTCTTTCCTCTCTTTGACAGGGGTAGCTCCTCCGTCTTTTGTAGCAATTAATGCCGGTACGACACTATACAAACTGACAACAGCAGGAGAGGCAGTGTCCTGGAACTCTTTGGCAGTTTTGGGTGTCTTGGCTGTTCTCTCCATCCTCCCGGTGTGCTTCCAGAAGAAGCTGCAGCAGAAGCTGGAGTGAAGCTCCCACGAGTCCGCTTTATCCCGCTTCTCCTCGTCCTCACACTGCAAGCCCCTCTTTGTCCACATTGGTGGGTGAAATGGGCTCAAAACTGTCAAAGCTCTGATTTGGCCCACACTCACCATCTTTCCCTCTGTTCTTTTCTTTTTTGTCCTTGCAGATTGAAGATTTTTCTGCATATTTTTTAATAACCCTGGATACTAATTAATGGTCTCATTAACCTCAGTGGTTTTTATCTTTTCAACATTTCTCAAGTTCACATAACTGTAAAGCAATACTTTTGAGGTGTTTTTAGGGTGCGTTGCCTTGACAACGCAAAAAGTACATTCGTTTTCTTAATTCTGTGTGATACACTGGTAAAATAATGAACTTTTTAGATACAACACATCCCTCAGTATATGTTACAAAACAGGAATGTGCCATCAGCATGCTCTTTCACCCTGCAATTTGGTTGTTAGATACTATTTTTTTGGAGCCTTAACATAGGAGAATGGGCATTATGGGGTTCCTGAAGCCTTCAGGGTGATCTTGGTTTTAGGACTGGATGATGATGCTCCAAACAGTGTAATGCTATGCCAGCTTAGTGCCCTATGTACTGCTGCCAACTACATGTAGGAGGTGCTAGTGCTCCTGGCCCTTTTATCCTAGATTTTTCTGCACTGCCATTGCATATTGTCGGACAGAGATGAGACACGGAGGAGTTGTATTTATGAAGATGCCTCATATGTATTGTAACTTTCTCAGACTGGTTTTGTTTTAATGAATTTTGTCTTAAAATGGGAGATTATTAGAGTGTAATCGCTAACTCGCACACAACCCCGGTTCTGACTGATTTAGCCGCCTTGAGGAAAAAGTAAGGAAGAGAAGAGAGAAACTATCCTGTAGTCTTAATTGATTTAGCGTAAAGACTGAAAACTTTAAATATTTAGCTATATTTTTTTGAAAGCCTGTGTAGCCCACTAGCCTCATGTGAGAAACTTCATTTGTCTCAGTGCTTCTTTAAGGTTTTAAGAAAGCAGTTTTTTCATGGACCTATAGGAAATGAGCGGTGTCTGTACGATGAACAGTCTTATTTGCACTGAACCTCTGCCTGTAAGGGCGCACTATGAGCAAGGGTTGCTACGCCACATAAGGTAGAAGTCAGATACCTCACTTGGTGTGATTTCACATCACATGGTTGTGTCCTTGTTCGTTTTAATTGCTGTTCATACCTCCATCATCCAAGGCACTACTTGGTTTTCATCTTTTTCTCATTCTGACTGCTATCTACATCCACATCTACAGCTCAGAGACATAACGTTTAACATGCCATGTAATCCTGAATGCTGCGAGTACTGCGAAATAGCTTGACCGAGAACGGTGTGAACAGGTAACAGGCTTACACAGGTTCACTCTAACAGTTCATCCAATTGGTGATATTTGACATGTCAGTTAGAACATGGCTGTGCTACATGTTCTTATGCCCCCGAGTTAATTTTCTCTACTGTCTCATAATTTGAATTCTTTCCACAATCACAGTATTACACTGAGTTGGTGTATTGCAGTATGTTATTCTTATAAAAATGATATAAATTGACAACTTTTCTTTTGAATGTCATTACATGTTCTATAATGAAGATATTTATTATGAAATGATTAAAAACAAATGTTTTCCTTCACTTCTGTTTATAGATGCCTTAGAAATTGTGTGAGGGTGGCTGTTTTTGTTGATCTTGGATTCTGGTTGTACATAAGACACACTATACTCACATGTGCATAAGAGTGTACAGAAGATGACAAAGTGGCCATATTTGTAGTTTTGTGGCTCCAGAACTGGAAAATACTTAAGTAATTGTGCTTTATTGCAATACTTAAGTACTATTTTGGAGTATGTATACTTTACTGGAGCTCTATTAAACTTGTATTTTAGTCAATTACATTTCCAAGAAAAAAAACCTACTTTTCAGTCCTTACATTTTTGTTTTTATGAAGTACTCAAAACAAATCCTAAAAGCCAGGAGATTTTTCTCTTGCTTGTCAGTTGAATTCCTGGCCATTTGAATGTTCTTATTAAAGCATTCAGATTCATATCATTGCAAAATGCAACTCTCCACAACTATGTTTGTGTGTCTTTGTGCAAAGACCAGCACTGTTGATTACTTAAAGAGGCACTCTGGACAAAACTGAAAATTGAACCATCGCTTCTTCTGTTGTAAACATGTCCCACAGCAGTGCCACTATAGTCTCGAGAGTGATAGTTCTCAGGTTAAAGAGTAGGAAACCCCATTTTATCTTGAAGGTGGGAGGAATGTAATGCTGGGTATTGTAGTGGGACAATATTAATGAATGAAAACACGTAAAGGAACACAAAATTGTGAATTCTGCCAAGCTGATGAGTCTGAGGGATATAATGCTGTTACATTACATTACATGACCAATAACCATATTAAATGCTCATTTTAGGCCAGAATGCCCCTTTAAGTACAGTTCCTCTGTTCTTTTTACCCCTTGTGGATCTGTACTCTATTGTACTGGATTTGAAATGAAGCAGCGACTGTGAGATTAAGAATGTCTACTTTTAGAACATGTACTTCTTTATTGCCTAAACCATGTAGGAAACAGATCTTTTCATACAAAGCCCTTGCATTTCAGGTGACCAGAGATAGATGGATAAGTTAAAATAATGAACTGGCACATTTATTGCCTCAATGCTTAATTCCTATTTACTGGATTTAATCCAGTAGTGCTATGGTCTAAATTTATAGGGCCCACTTAGATAAAGTTAATATCAATAATCTATATTTATTTAACAGCTTTGCATTGTTTAAAAATAAGGCAAAAACTAAAGGTAATCAAAAAATAAAATGGTAAAACAAGGGAAAATAAAAGTGCAACAATAAAAAACAATGACAGAAAAGAAAACTATAACAGTTAAAGGTTTAAAACAACAATTAATGTACATTATATTTGAAGTACTATAAAAGTACAGTGGCAATAAAAGTAAGGAAAATAATGATGGCTAAGCTAGTAAAATGTTTTTAGTTTTAAATCAAGGATAAAAGGAGTCTGGCGAATATTTATTGGTAGTACGATCCAGATCTTTGCCTTTTTTATTGTCATATTTGGATGTGAGGAAGGCTAGCTCTGGTGATGATCTGGAACAATACATTTTCAGGCATTCAGAGATGTGTGAGGGTGCTACTATTAAGAGCCATTACTAACAGGTGTAGAAGAAATCAAGCACATATCTCCATAGACAAACAGTGGCAGTAGAATAAAGAAGGGGGCAGCCATGTGACCGGAAGGTCACCGGCTTGATCCCCTTGGCTGACAGTACATGACAGTACATGCCCTTGAGTAAGGCACCTAACCCCCAACTGCTCCCCGAGCGCTGTGGATAGGGCTGCCCACCACTCCAGGCAAGTGTGCTCACTGCCCCATAGTGTGTGTGCTCACTAGTGTGCATGTATGTGGGTGTTTCACTGCACGGATGGGTTAAATGCGGAGGTCTAATTCCTCTGTGTGCAAAACACAATTGGTTCTGAATTCTGTTTCTAAGACTTGGTTGTGCTGAAGAGTCAGTTTGCTAATTTTCTGTCCTCCTAGGTTTGCAGTCAACAGTAAGTGCTATTATTGTAAAACGTAAGTGTCACGGAGCAACAGCTCAGCCACAACAAAGTAGACCACACAAACTAACAGAGCTGGGCCGCTAAACGCCGATAAGTGTAGAAGTCATGTAGCATCTGTTGCATCTCTCACTACAGAGTTCCAAAACTTAATTACAAGTGCGTGGCATCAGCACAAGCACTGTGCACAAGCACTGTGCATCGGAGCTTCATGAAATGGGTGAGCAGCTGCACATAAGCCTAAGATCCTAATGCGCAATGCCAAGCGTTGACTGGAGGGGTGTAAAGCGCACCACACTGCAGCTGGACTCTGTGGAAATGTGTTTTCTGGAGTGTTGAATTATGCTTCACTATCTGGCAGTCTGATGAAAGAGCCTGGGTTTGGCGGATGCCAGGAGAACTCGACCTAACAGGTAGGTTTCAGGGTTTGGGTTCAGCCCCTTAGTTCCATTAAAAGGTAATGATAATGCTTCAAGACATTTTCCACAAATATATGCTTCCAGCTTTGTTAGCAACAGTTTGGGGAAGGCCCTTACCTGTTCCAGCATGACTGTGCCCCTTTGCACAAAGCGAGGGGCATAAGGACATGGTTAGATGAGTTTGGTGTGGAGGAACTCTAGTGAACCTGCACAGAGCCATAAGCAAGGCGTTTAATGAATTTACCCATCCTACTATTTTGTGGATGCTTTTCTTTAGCTGGGCACAAGAGGGCAGTATATCAACACATCTCACTAAAGCAGTTTTAGCCTACCTGAGTGAACTTATAAAAGACACTGAGGGAACATAAGGTAGGGTGGTATTTTTAAAAAAATTGATCTTACACTAAAACCCTACTTGCATTGAATTTTCAAATCAAGGATTATATAATTCACTGTCATAAAATAGCCTTGTGCCGCACATCAAAGTGACACTATGATCTTAAAGATTTACAAAGGCTTTTAATGGAAGCCCTCTCAGATGAGTATCAAAACATTTTCAAGGTCATATCCAAGTCGCCATGACTTAGTACCAGAGGTGGGTGGAGTGGCCTAAACCTACTCTCAAATAATAAGATTAATTTTCTCAGTTGGTGTGATTTCACATCTCACGGTTGTGTCCTTGTTCGTTTTAATCACTATTCATACCTCCATCATCCAAGGCACTACTTGGTTTTCATCTTTTTCTCATTCTGACTGCTATCTACATCCACATCCACAGCTCAGAGACATAAAGTTTAACATGCCATGTAATCCTGAATGCTGCGAGTACTGCGAAATAGCAGTTTATTATAATAATAATATTATTATATATGATAATATAATAATAATATAATAATAATATTATAATTTAAACTGCTATTAATTTAGTTAATTTTCTAAAACAGTGACTCAAGTGTAAGTAAAAGTATATTTTAAAAAATCAAAGTGCAAAAGTAGCAGGTCAGCAGCTTATAGCCGCCACCAATGCAAAATAATAAAATTCAGTACAAAAAGAAAAGTATCTTAAAGGGGAACTTCACTGATTCAAAATTTCTGTATAATGGTTGACATGTCAACAAAGTCATTCAGAGTGATTTGGTGAGAAATGCTACCGTGGTGGTGATAGGAACCAGACGTCCACCTCTAACAGCTCGCTCACAGAAAGCTGTTGGTGAAATGGTTTGAATATGAAACATGAAATGAATACACTGCCTGATGTTTGAGACATTCTTTTATGGTAGTTTTGTGATGACGTTTTGGTGTAAAATGTATTTTAATCAATATATTTTAATCCATTCATGGCAGAGAGGTGTTTTGAGGCAAAATAGTCTCCATAGAAAACTTCTATTGTCAGATTGACTATTATCATCAACATTACATAAAAAACTTCGAGAACGTCGAGAACATGTGGGATCATTGGTGCTTTTGGATAATAAAATAAAATAAAATAAATAAAATGGCCATATTTGTATTGTAGACTTTGGGACTCCTGGTTCCTATCACCACCATTGTAAAGAAATCTGAGTCTGAGTCACATCAAACCACTTTGAGTGACTTTATTTACATCTTAACCATTAAATTATACAGAAATTTTGAAAAATCAGTGGAATTTCCCTTTACATGTTAAGGACTCAAAAAGTAGATTGCTTTCTTTACTTGAGTATTGGTAAAAGTCTTATTTGAAAAATCTCAGAAAAATATGCATTAAAAGGTACTTATCAAGTAGTAATAAACAAAGATTTGTAGCAACTAGTTAATAACTACACAATAATAAAACGTATATATATATATGTATATATATATATATATATATATATATATATATATGTCTGCTCTCTCTCTATATATATATATGCATATATGTACACAAATATATATATATATGCATACATATATATATATACATACATATATATATATATATACATACATATATATATATATATATATATATGTGTGTATATATGTGTGTGTGTGTGTGTGTATGTATGTATGTCTATTTTGTGGTTCAAACCTAAACGTGTTTAAAACCGTGGTCTGTATGTCTGCTCTCCCGTCTGTCCCTGTCTGTGTGTCTTTCTTATTTCACCTTAGAACTTTGATTTAATTTAAATCCTTTCTAATCTTCTGCTCTGCCTCCGCAAACCACGACAAAGCGACCAATCGCATAACGTCATCGTTGACCAGAGCGACGCGCACGCGCACCAGCGACTCGCGTACCCTCAAAAATAGTGCTTCAGGTTCCCCGAACCGATTCTTTCAAACAGTTTGTTTCAACGAATCGACTCAACAATTCGTTAAGTCCACTTCATTCTCACCCCCGCCTTATGCAACGGCGCTCGGTTAAGTAGGTCTGATGCGACTTCTGCTAACTAATGGAGTTAAAAGGAATACAAAAAGTGTAATAGAAAGCGCAGTTATAACTAGATCTGGGCAACATGACAATATTTATCGTTATTATGACAACTCTGATAGCAAGAGGACAGTGGTCCACTGTCGGCCCGCTAATGGCAAAGCGGGCGGTCCACTGGCGTTTTGCTCAGCGTTTTCCGGGCGGTCCACTGGCGGTTAAGCAAAGTATTAGACAACAGTCCACTTGTCATCACTCGTTTTTCACTCACAGCCCAATTTACTGATTTTTCCTTCCTTCCTTTCTTTAGTTACACTTTGTAAATTAGATTAGTAAATAATTTTAATCTAGCTCAACTTTCCATAAAATGATTTTACATTAGGCCTAGTCATTATTTTAGTTCTCTCGGTTGATTGTAAAATTTGTGTAAGTTTATCTTCTAAAATAAAAGTCTCTGTGCATTTAAACTCTGTTTGAGGAGATTAAATATAGTTAGAGCTTGTATGCAGGGCAATAATCTGGGCAGTCCGAGGGTGGACCAGCAGTGGCAAACAGTCAGTGGGGTGCTGACCTTTTCAAACCAGCGGACCGACATAACGTTATGCTCGCTATCTGGGAAACTACATTTGCTATATGTCGCAATGTGCTTTTCTCAGCATATCGTGGATATCATCTGTGCTTAAAAATCACTTCCCAGCTGCATGTTTGAGTAAAAGGAGTAGTCATATTACATTTTGCACCTCTACTATCAGAGCAAAGACGCAAATGGAAGCAAATTCAAAGTTGTCCTTAACGAACATTTAGTGTTTTTGCTGTAATTTTATTAAGTTAAATTGTTAAAGTTAATGACTGGAACTCTTCAGCAACACTTTCGTAACCTACCAAGGTACATTTGATTGAATTCGTTTATTGAAAAGAACCGAATCAAAAGAGTGATTCCTTCACGAGTCGGTTCATCGCTTACCGAAAAAAAAAACAGCTGTGCGAGGCCCCATGATGCAATGCGAGCGCGTTGACGGAGTTCGGGCTGTGATTATGAAGCGCTCCGCAATGGCTGCGCGAACTGACCCTCAGCTCCGCTACTATGCACCTCAGTAGGACGGCGGAGAGAAGAGCACAGCCGGACCAGTCTCAAAATGAGCACCGGATTCAGCTCGAGTTCCTGCCGGTTCGCGGATTACTTTGTTATCTGCGGACTGGACACGGACAGCGGGTTGGAGCCAGACGAGCTCTCCGGTAAGGCGCGAGCACTGGACGTCGATTTTTTAAAAGGCTTTCACAGTTTTAACGGTTTCTCCGGTGCTGTTTTTTGCGTTTTTAAGGGTAGAATAGCACATATCGAGATTCTGCGTTGGTAGAATCAGTTTGGTGATTTGTGTTCTGTTTATTTGCCGAAATGTGCTGGATACGGTTAACGTTATTGCTTTCCCTGGGAAGGATGCGCGTGATGTAACCGTTAGAATACGAATAAAATTTGTAGCTAGCTGGGTTAGCTAACGGCTAAATGACATCTTTCTGAGTGTTTTGTCCAAATATTTTGCGGTCGACCGCTACATAATAAAAATAAAATCCCCTGGCAAAGTGCCTTAATAGTTTCCCTACACTTGGCAGAATGTGCTAGATAGATATATTGCTGTTTTCCCGCTGAGGGACGTGCGGCGCCATGTAGTATTGAAAAGTATCATCCAACAAATTGTGACTTTTCTGGTATCTTGTCCAAATTCAGTGCTAACTGTGGGATACCAAGTGATTTTTCGACTAGGGCGACCGTCTTTCTAAGCAGCCACGGCCCTCCATTTCAACCTAAAACATCAATGAACGTCCCTCTTTGGAGTCCTTTGGAACAGATTTCACTCACATTATCCACTGAGTGACTTATGAGAGAGGAATGTTATTCACGGGAGAAATTCCCATTTCAAATTCTGAAAGAAGTTTGTAGTTTCTGTGGAGAATGAATATGTCTGACTAGAATCAGCTGTACAGAAACTTAGACATTTCTTCATCTTACTAGGTCTATTTAAAACAGAGCTAGAAGAGAGTGTGCGTTTCCTATGGTTAAACACTTCCTCTTTTTCACAGTGAAATCTTTTGTGGGGTTTCCACTTTCTCCCAAGTACTTCGTACCTGTGGCGAAGGAGGGGGGGCTTTCGACCACTACCTTTGATTGAATCAGCCAGAGGGGATCATTGTTCATTAATGAGTGAATCTCGTGTTAATTTAACAGCACCGTCTCCTCAGTTGGAAACGCTGTTCTTCAAAACATGCATTGGCCCTGTTTTTTTGTTATTACGTTGTAATTACACTATTGTGAAAAAGCCACATGCAGGTCCCAGCTGCTTCTCATTATTTTAACCACATCTGGCCATGTAGGCCATCACAGAGGAACACACACTGATTAGTTTATGGTCAGCTATGGTCAGAGATTTCTTAGCCTGAGTACATTCTGTCCTTTAAAAGGCTCATGCCCTTTTTCTCTGAGATCCACTTATATTTGTGTTGATTTTTAAGTATCAAAAATAGTTGTAATTCGGTTATACCTGACTGTCTTCCAACCTTAGAATTAAACAGACTGCTATGGTTACTGTGCATTTAAGACATATGTAAATGACCTCTAATCTGATTGGCTGAAACACTCCTTATAACTTCCTTGTGAGTGGGGGCAACTAAACTCCTGTAGGTTGAATAGGCAGATATATGTAAATGTATTGTTATATTTGTGGTAGTACAAAAACAACTAATCCAAAATCGGCTTTTTTTGCAACCTCATTTTCATATTTCTGTGTGGCCTGGAAAATGAATGGTATGTTTTGAAACTTTGACAGTGCTTACATACTAGATAAAATTCTTTTATTTAATTCAGTCTGAAGTTGTCAACATTATGGGACATAAATCCATAACCGATGTTGGCTTATTTGGACTATCCGACTCTGATATTACAGTGACTGGCAAATTACAGCAAATGACTATGAAGGGAGAGTAATTTTGCCAAATTATACATGACAACTTGCCTCGTAGGTGTAATGGGGGTCAGCTGCTGTAGAAAATCTCTCTACACCCTTGCAGCAGATGAATAAAAACTACTTCTAAAAAAGGCAACCAGCTTCTTTAGGTTGGTTGAGGAGGTGCAAGTCAGTCATTTTTTTTCTCTTTGTCATCTGTTGCAGTGTTTTTGTCTCAGAGCACACATAGAATGGCACACGGCCAAAGAATGCTATTCAGAGAAAAGCATTCTACAAATGTCAGGTCTTTCCAATGTCAAAGTGGGGCTAAATCATTCAGTTCTGATGAGGTTAGACCTGAAGGAAAGGTCTAGAAAGAATCCCTTGAGATATCATTAACTGCTCAGCTGCTCCTCAGGGTATTCCAGGAGACTTTCTCTGTGTGGCAGTTGCCTCTGTACGCTGCATCGTTGAAGAGGAATTCCACTAATTTTTAAAAAATTGTACAGAGTGTAGTCGTTGAGATGTGCGCAAATGCCCTATTCCATTTTTTCTTTTTGAAAAGAAATCTTGCCCTATGAAATGGAACCCTCACATTACTTCATTATCAGGCTACTAGTGCTTCTCTGTAGGTGACCCTGCCAGTCTTCAGTGATAGCAGAGGAGGGAAAAGTTCAGCAACCTCACTGCTGGGCTTTAGTTACATTTAGGGCATCATATGCCTTCAAAGAGGGGGTATAAAACAATTATTCATTATTGCCCACCCCTAATTCTTTGGTGAAGTCTGCTATTCACCAGCTTCTTGTTCGAATTTTCCCGCTCCACCTTAAATGGTGCAGCAGTTACATTCTGGTGCTTCATACATCAGAATTGCTGGACTATTTAAGGTGGAATGGGAAGGTTAGCTAGCTAGCTACCGAGACATTAGCATGCTATTAGGGAATTTTTATGCTTGTTATGAAGAAAACGACCATAATACATTGAAACGACATTAAACCAAGATAATACAGTGGTTATTGTATTTTTTATTGTAGAAAATTCTCACATTTGTGGGTTTCTTTGGTCGCTCGCGCAGCCATCTTGCCGGGTTTTCTTTTTTTTCTAATAACACTTCATTTGGAGTGTGACTCTGAAAAACCTCTGTTTGGAGGGCCGTGTAGGCCTAACACTTCGCCCTGCCCCTCCATCCCGGCAAAAAATGGGAAACCCTACTCCTAGACATGAATGCGCAAAACGGAGGGCTAAGGACTAAGTGGTAGGGGCGAGGGGTGAAATAGGATTGGGCCGAAGTCATTGCAAGTGGTTTGATGCGAAATGGTCCATTGTTGAGAAACTTACCAAAATGTATTTCTTTACAGTGGGGGTCATAGGAGCCTGTGGTCACAAGATCTACATTGCAAATACAGCAGTTTTATACAGCACTTTTTCTAAAACGACTGTTGACCCACACCTGTTTTGGATTTTTATATGTAAAAATTCTATGGCTTAGTTGTTATGTAGCTTGTTCAGAACAAAAAAGAATTCATTTAAGTGCTGTCATGAAGAAATCCTAGCGTATCAAAGGCTGTTGTGTTTTGTATGGCCATCAAGTGACCTCTCAGTGCTTAATTTGTAGAATTGTAAAAAGAGAGGAGCATTTGTGATAAATATATATTCATAAATTCATGTGTTTATTTACAAGCTATTTATTTCTAAACTCGTGGCAAAATATTATGTATTCCATGCCTAGTTTTCACTGATTTTGTTCAGTGTCAGATGTGACACCCCAAGATGTACGCAACATCAGCTTTGTTCTCATGAAAATAAGCACTTTTTTATGTACTTCCTCTTTAAGCGGCTGCTGTTGCGCTGAGGTTTTATGGTGAAGAGAAGATCATGTGGTGTTGCATGCTCCGCTGTGCTGGTGATAACAACACACGTTTCACTTTAGTTTTGCACTTTCATTTTGCATTTCCAAGATGTCACAGATTGGATTTGCTGGTGTTCTGCTCTAAAGCCATTAACACCTGATTTGTTCTACAAATGGCTTTGCGCCACTGGCCATGTTAACCCTGTGAACCCTTCATATATTCTTCAGTTTAAGATTTTTAATCTTTAATCTTCAAGACTATTCATTAACTACTATGAAACTGATATGTTATACGCAAGTTATGTAATGAGAGTGAGAAACTAAAGTATGGGCCTAAAAGGGCCCTTACGCAGGGGTAGGCAGATAAAAATTTGCACTGGTTAATGAATCTTGTGGCCAAAGCCAAGAATTTGTGGCCAGAATTATAGAAACATCCTTTTTGTATACATTGTATTTACAGTTTACAAGCATACCCAGTCAAATGTCTTTTTTTAAAGGAAATATTTATTAAAACACACAGTCAATCATACACGTTTAGCAGTCTGAAGTTTCTCCTCAAGGGGGAGCTTTTAGCATGGACGTCATTCTAAGAGAAGAAAAATTCATCAGCCCAAACTAGCAGGATCTTACAAATGCACCTGTTTGCAGCCACAACTTTCAAAGTGGGAGGTAAAATATTTAATTACAAAAAGATGTTGAGTTACTTATAGGTGTCCGTAATGGCAATATTTTATTGATATCATATATTGATAAATTGTGTTGCAATGCACTTTTTTATATAACATTGAGTAAAAATTATTGTAATTGTAGTTGTATAGTATGTTGAATCTCAGAGAAATGTGTATTGTGAAAATGTCTGGAAGTATTGTAATACAATTTTTGCCATATCGTCTGTCCTGAGTTACTTATTTGATTTATAATTTTAATAAGATTTTCATTAAATCAGTTAGTGCTTAAAGAACATATAAGCTGAACACAGCATAGAATGTAGGTCTAAGCTGCAGCAAACTGTGTTTAACAAGATAATATAGTGCTAATTATGATTTTATATGTACCAGATGTAGTGAAACGTAGTTGTTTTGTTATCTGTAGTGCATGTTTGTGGAAGTGTAAAAATGCTTCTTGCTCTTAGGGTTTAACGTTTTTTTGAATGGCTGTTGAGAAGAGCGCTCCAGATGGCTGAACCTAGTTTCCTTGTCAATATGCTGACTGTATTTTCCTGTCGAAACACATTGCGGTAATGCAAAGCATGCATTCTGAATCTGGGTCACTTGTTGCAATGTAAGATAAAAATAAAAGGAATGAGTAAACTAGACTGTGTTTTGGAAAGTAAGGAGTGCTTTGGTTACAGTGGCGATAACAAACAAAACACACAGCTTTCTTGCCATGCTGCGTACGTCTGTTGAATTTACATTGAAAGTTTGAAAGTGGTTAGATTTATCCAGCAT